ATACCAATCAGAGACAAGAGCTCACGAGCACGCAAATCCAGCTAGCAAATCAGCAGGAAAAAAAGCATCGTGTGCCGCTGGCTTTAGTTTATACTTAACCGTCCAATCCTGATTCAAAATGAAGTGGATTTAGGGAGCGTTTACACCGGATTGATCTTACTCCACTAAGAGGATTAAAGTGGATCGAAATTAATCCGTTTACACTTAAGAAATATTACTTCATTCCGAAGTGAAACGGGATTGAACGGCTAGGTGTAAGTTATTGTTACTTTTTCATTTAAACAAACATTTATTGAACTTATCCGTGAAATATCCGTATTATCCTGATTCCTGGCCTTTTGCTGTCTCACAGCAAAAGAACAGAATGAATGAGTTTTCTTTTGATTCTTTCGCTGTGATTGGTTCACACGTTCCGTTCCACTGTGGATTTCCGCGCCATGGGACATCAGCCTTAGATATTTATCTTACAGTATATATCATAAATTTTATGTTTGAATCATTATTTCGTTTATCCTTAAAAAATGGATCAAGATTATCCAGCCATCTCATATCTAGATTATACCAAAGAATCTTCAAATGGAGCATATATCATTTCATATTTTCCTAGTACGTTCATTATAAATTCAATTTTCTCGTCATTTGCTTATTTACTTCATTTTATTTGGAATCGTGCGTGTAACGCAGTTCCCTTAAAAAAGACAACCAATCCGGGCGCGGATTTGAAAGACGGACCAATTTGAAAGCGGATCCAAGAGATAAACCAATCGCGAGCAAGCATCATGATATTCATGTCAGAAAAATTGCAGACAAAAACGAGAGAGGAAAGGGGTCATCAAACTATCGGACGCATCAAACGTATGGATTTGCCCCTGGAAAGAAACAAAAAAAAAAGTTTGAGAGGATTCTCCGCGCCACGAGCGAGCTTGTGAGCATTCTTGCATGTACTCGCTATAGCTGCGAAGGAAAATTCCGCCGACCGAATATATGAAATTATCTGTCATGTGCCACGCACACATAAAATAGCACAAAATCCGAATTTGTGACACAAGTTAACAATCGTATGGAACAAACCTGTACTAGTACTATAGATTATCATTAAATATATGTTAATGTTTGTTACAATCCTAGTAAATTTATTATAAAATATCCGTTCGAAACTGACGAAACAGTTCAAAGTCATCCCAGGTCACGAAGAACAGAGGCGTTTCAATTAACAAGAATGTGATATCGGCCTCGAGCAATCACATTAAAAAGTATTTGTGCCAACAAAGTGATTATTTGCCTTGTGAGCACAAATTATATGAACTAGATCGCGCGGTGACATTTCAGTAAAGACGCGAATCAAAAATAAAACATTAAGAAAAACTAGATGGGTACTAGATGGAAAAATTAGGTGGGGGGGTTAAAGTTGAGAAAAACTAGGAGAGGCTAGATAGGAAAAAACTGGTTGGGGAACTAGATGGAAAAAACTAGGTTGGGGCTAAGTGGGAAAAACTAGGTGGGGGCTAGGTGGAAAAAACTAGATGGGAATTTGATGGGAAAAACTACGTCGGAGTTAGATAGGAAAAACTATGTGGGGGCTAGATGAGTAAAACTAGATAGGTTCTAAATGAGAAAATCTAGGTGGGGGCTAGATGAAAGAAACTAGATGCGGGCTAGATGGGAAAAATTAGCTAGTTGCTAGATGGGAGGAACCAGGTGGAAACTAGATGGGAAAAACTAGCTAGTGGTTTTGCTTCGCATAAATCCAAGCAGCGATACAATCATCCCTTTATGGGTAAAGTTTACAATTGGCGTGCAATAATTCAAAAACTATTCATCCGATTGAGTTTTGCCTGTGCACACATTTCGTTAAATATTTTCCTGATAAATTGAGCCTCTATTTGCATTTGTATTGTTTATATTTATCTTCAATGCATAGTCAACATGCAAAAATAAATATTTTCGTTTTCTATGTTTTGCCATTTTTACATTTTTACATTAATTGTAAAATTAATAAAGTTAATTTTAAAAATAGGTTCAATTAATGAGGTACACCTCACAAAGAATAATCCGTTTGGTTTCTTTGTTTTACATGAATGCAAGCAGCGTTACTTTGCACACCAACTACTTATGAATGGAGTTTGAAATTGGCGTGCGTAATTCAAATGCTATTCATCTAATTGTGTTCTCTTTATGCACACATTTAGATAAATATAATTTTCTCCTAAATTGAACCTCTATTTGCAATTGTATCGTCAATATAATAATACTTTTTGCCTAACAAGCATGTGAAAATCGACATTTTCGTTTTCTATGTGACGCCATTTTTACAGTTTTGCACTATTCTCTTTAAAAATAGGTTCAATTCATAATGTAAGCCTCACGAAAAAGTAATCCGATCAAATAATAATTTGGTTTTTTTGTTTCATATGAGTAGAAGCAGCACTACACTGCACGCCGACTCCTGGATAAAGTATAATATTGGCGTGCAAGATAATTCAAAAATTATTCATTTGATTGAGTTCTTCCTGTGCACACATTTTGATAAATACTTTCCTCATAAATTGAATAAGGTGTTTCATTTTAAGTGATATGATCAATTATTTCGCGAATTGATGATTTTATCGAAAAATTTTTCGAACAAAAGTTGCATGGCTTGAAGGGGGACACACGATAGAAATGTGGACTTTGAGTGACCTTATCAAAATCAGATCAAGGTCATTAATGTTTTTTTAAATGGAAACCCCCATTTTTTATTACATATTCTTGTAGTTTATCTCGAGAACTTTCCAAAACATTATAATAAAGTTACTTTTCGTGAAGTACTTGTTAAGTTATAAGGCAAGACCGATCACTGATCCGGCCAACTAAGGCAAGATCAATTCGAATATGCCTTTAACCGTTGATAAGATGTTCAAATAGAGCTCTATTTTCTTGCAGACATAGCCTCAACCGTTTCTTAAAATTTTCTACTGTTGAAATTAAAATATTTTGAGGAATGCTACGACAAACATTAGTTATTCGATTTTTCATGTCTCATGCAGATGTCGGCGGAGTTGTAAATAATATTTTTTATGTAGCCCCACAAAAAAAAATCACACAAAGTTAAATCAGAAGATCGTGGAGGATATCCAATATATCCATACCTTTCTATCCATCTTTCATGAAAGATGTTATTGAGGTATTCCGTCACAATATGATGAGAATGAAGTGGCGTACCATCTTGTTGCCATCACATTTTTTTGTCGAGTAGCAAAATCAACCTCTTCTAAAAGCTCAGGCAATTTATTTTGCAAGAAAGAAAGATTAAGTTTTCCCATTTAAGCGATTATCAAAAAAGTATGGACCAATCAAATATCCATTTACAATTCCGCATCAAGTGTTTAAATTCCAACGATGTGATTATCAACACATTGAGTTCAGTGAGGATTGAGAGACGTAAGACTTAGATTTGGTTGCACCAATATTATTTGGGTTTTAAGCGAGACTTAATACATAATACATAATATACGTGACACATATTATATATTAAATACCACTTAAAATTCAAAATAATATGGTGTAATTGAGCCTTAAGAAATTGGCCAATCATAATCGATTTATAGAAGAATAACTGATTGTGATTGGTTAATTTTTTAAGTTTTACGCCTTAAAATCTCATTGTTGACACCGCAAGTTTTCTTGTATGCCATGATCTTTACATATACACAGTGACGCGAAAATATGTCCAAGCAACTGCGTTCTTCAATCGAGCTGATTCGATTATCGAACTTGCCATTGCTCGTCATTGCTCATCATGAGCTCAGTGTCAGTTGTTAGGTGTTTCTGACATCTAGAGAAGGTATTTTAAAGACAGCCGTGATAATTTTATTTGAATTGAAATTTAAGATCGCATAATCTCATATATAAGAATAACGAGTCAATCATCGAGATATCTCGCTAGATTTTTGATATTGCTACGACACTTTTCGGAGACATATGCTCTTGTTTCCTTAATCGTACCTCTCATTCTTTTAGTTAGGTTAATTCGCCATTGACCGCAGCAAAGTTTGTTTATTACATAATGATAAACTAATGTTGCTAGTTTAGTCTGGCGAAATGTTGAGATTACCGGTCGTGCGGGCCACAGGCCTGGCAGGTGGAAGGCTCTGCGCTGTT